ATTGTAGTTTTCTCCTTCTAAAAATCTATTTATGGGAGGATATCTAAGAGAAGATTAAAAGTCCAATTTTTTTCAGAAAGGACTACTTTTAGCTCAATTCCATTCAGGTGTAGACCAGATGAAAGAGTGGTTTAAGCAGTTCTTAACTTTTAAAAACATGTGTTTTGGAAGACTCACCATAAAATGTGTTCATAGTAGCAATTATTTTTCTGTATGTATAGTGATGTGTGGTTTTATTTTAAAACTATGTAACTGTGTGTGGGGCTGTGCATGTGAGTGTAGGCATGTTGGAACTCCTGGAACTTAAGTTACATAGTTGTGAGCTACCACGTAGGTGCAGGAAACTGAGCAGAATTATGCATGAGCAGCAAGTGCTCTTACCTGAAGGGCCATATCTTCATGCCTGATCTATGGATTCTTTCCAATAAAAAGTTGGAATGTTTTTAATTAATCAGAAATGGACACATCAAATGTTTTAAATTAACATGAGAGACAGTAAATATAATACTTTGGGATAAAAATCAAATCATAGTTTTGCTTTTAGCAACTAACTTTCCCTATGACTTTGCTATAGTATGAAGAATTCAAAGGTTGGGTGGCACATGCCCATAATTCCATCACTTCGGAAGCTGAGGCATAAGAATTTTAAGTTTGATACCATCTTGATACACAGCAGATTCCAGGCCAGCCTGAGCTAATTAGCAAGCCTATCTGAAAAATAAAACAAAACACTGAAATAAACAACTCTGCACTGAGAGAAACGTTGCTAATTCGGAAGGATCAATGGAAATCATACTTCCAGTTACTTAAGAGTTATTACTTAAAAATTGTGATTTAGAGCTGGACATGGTGATACATATCTAAAATTCCTAGCATCAGGAAGGCTGAAGCAGGAGAATGGAGAGTTCAGGGACAGCCTGGAGTACATAAATAGCCTACCTCAAGAAGCACAAGAAAAACAAATTCACTCTTACTTTCTTTTCTTTTCTTTTCTTTTTTTTTTTTGAGGCAGGGTCTTGCAATATGCAACTAGAGATCCTGCTCCTCTTGCCTCTGCCATCTAGGTGCAAGGATTACAAATGTGTGCTAACATACTCACCTTTTAAGTACTTCAGCTACGCAGGCCTTATTGTCTTAGAACTGTGCAGTATAGGCTGGCCTCAAAGTCATGACATTTTTCTTGCCTCAGTCTCCTGAGTGCTAGGATTATAGGCATGTACCACCATACCTGATTTCAAATAATCTTTTAAGTATAAATACCTATGAGGTGGGTTTTTTGGTAATGAATTGGGGAATAAATTCTGATTAAAATGTATATTCTAAAGGTTTTCAAAAAAAGATGAAATTTATTCAAGTATTGAGTGTTCTAAAATTGTTAGTATTATTATAAAAGACAAATATCACAAAAAGCTTTAGTACAATATTTTGAAAATTGTATTTTCTAGGGTAAGAATTTTTTTTCTTCAAAAAGTGTATCACACAAAGAAGTGATACTTTGTTGTTTTTCTGAATAGGGTTTCTTTGGTCTAACTGCCTGGCTGTCTGGGAACTTGCTTTTAGACCAAGTTGGCCTGGAACTCACAGAGATCCACCTGTCTCTGCCTCCTGAGTGCTGGGATTAAAGATATGAGCCACCATGCCTGGTTACAAGTAACTCATTTAATAAGACTTTCAGATTTTAATATTTCATTACTTGTGATATTAGGGATTAAAAAATGTGAAAATTCTACCTAGATATTCTGTATTTTTTAGTTCTAGAAGTATACTTTTTAGAATTTTATGCTTAAATATAGTTGATATTTTTCCTGTTGCAATGTTTTGGCCAGTTTATTTGCCTTTGAGCAAGAGGTACTGGTAGAAGATACAAGTGAACCCTTAAGGAGTGGTTCTCGACCTTCCTTATGCTGTGACCCTTTAGTACAATTCCTTATGTGGTGGTGACCCCCAGTCATAAAATTTATTGTCACTGCTACTTAATAACTGTAATTTTGCTACTTTTATGAGTCATAATGCATTTATCTATGATTTCTGGTGGTCTTAGGTGACCCCTGTGATGGGTTGCTTGAACCCCAATGTGGTCTCAACCCACAGACTGAGAAATTGCCTTAAGGCATCCACGGTATCTTACTCAGGCTGTTGGTAACTTGGATGTATACATATTTAAAATCTCATCTAGCTGCATGTGTAAGCTTGTGTACTTTATGGTCATGTGTTACAACTCAAGTGAAAGGGTAGTCTGCCACTTGGAAAGGCCCAATGAATCACATATGTAATTTAAGTCACTAGTATGTGGAGGGGGAGGCAGACATACAAGGTATCTGATGCTCCCAGCAAAGGAACTTCTAATCATTTTCAGGTAGATGAACTGTGTCTGTAGCTAAAGTAAAGCTTCGGTGATGGGAAATTATTAGTGTTCTATTAGAAGTGGTGTCAAGAACTCAGTAGCAGTTCATCTATAAATGTTATGACAGTTTGAGTAAGTGGATAAGAACATCATATAATGACACCTTATAGCATGTTTATTTGATTTATAATTGCATATGCATTTTACTTTTGCTTCTTAAGGTTTGGGTTCTTGCAGTATCGTGTGGCCTTCCAAAGGATGGAGAATAAAAATAAAGTTTGTTTTTTTACTTAACAATTGTTTTCAGTGTGAATAGCTGAAATTATAATTGTGATTTTAAAATGGTGCATTGTTTCCCTATTAAGGGAGAAAAAGAATTGGTTTGTGTTGAAAATATAAATACTTAATCTGATTCAAAAGTGCCTTTGAAAAAAACTTTTCCTTGGAACTGTTATCACCTCCAAAAGCCTTTGAGAGGATTAGCTGCATAGACCAATACTGTTCTATATTAGTCAGTATTAAGCGTATGATGTCACCTTTTCCCTCCCCTCCTAAGCTTTTATTTTGAGAGAAAGGAAGAATTTTGGGGGTTAAGCCTGAAAATACTAAGGCTTAAATACCATTGATATACATGATAGACAAGCTCACACCCCAAACCTGTCTTGAAATGGGTCAAATACTTAAGCGCTGCAGAACAATGCAATCCAACAGCAAGTCCCCATAAAAAGAGAAAGGGGGTGTGATTAGACTCCAGCTATTAAGCAAGTTGTTGAAAAACAAAAACAAAACAAAAACCAGTTCCGTGGTTTGTTTCTGCAACAGGCATTAGGTTACGCTTGTTTCTTCTAATTCGCTCCCCACCAAAGGGCTATGCTGTAAGAGACCGGCAGAATCGCCAAAGCAAGCAGCAACTGGGACAGACATTAAGGGCTTTACGGAGGTCCTTCGACTGTCCCGCAGCATTGGTTATTGATCGTTCACCCCGCCGGGGTAGCAATCGATCAGAATTTGTGTAAGGTGCATAGAGTCATAGTTAAGGATATGTGTGTGTGTGTGGTGGGGTATAAGCCTCTAATAAAAGGAACGCAGCAACAATAGCGGAGGAACAGCTCTGCCTGGTGACGTAATGGCTGGCAGTGGTCCAGCTTCGGCAGAGCTGCCGCTACCTCAGCATCCAACCTCCCTCAACCCGGTCCAGCCCCAGCAGAGCCACCGGAGCTGTGACTTCTTACGATGCCGCTCTGTGGTCGCTACCGACGCCTTACCGTGGAGGTCTGGAACACTGAACAAAGGGTGTCCCACAGTCTTAAGTTGTCGGGGCACGCAATACTCTCTCTCACACTTCTCCAACCCTCTCAGGCACCGAGTCCATCAGCGGCTTAAGTTGAGGGAGAGGGAAAAGACCGGAGTGCCTCAGTGTCCCCAGGCTGCTCTCCGGCCACCTCCCTCCAGCCCCTCCCCCGCCCCCCCCCCCCCGACGGTCTCGGCGGGAGAGGATCCCGGCGGCCCCGCTCCCCCGCACGCCGGTCCTCCCGCCTTACCTCTGCCAGGTAGAGGTTGAGGAGACAGAGCGTGGAGAACTGGAGGCAGGAGGGGAAGCAGTAGAGCAGCCAGTGCGGGAAGAAGTGTAGGCGAGAGGGCGGCCGCAGCACGGGCAGCGAGCCGCTGAGGGAGAAGGCGGCCGAGAAGAGCGTGGTCCTGAGCGCTGCCCACGCGAGACAGAGGAAGAGGCAGAGGCTCTGGTAACTGAGCCGCCGCTCGCGGTACAGGAGCAGCCGCCACAGCTGCAGGTAGGCAAAGGCGAAGAGCGCTGCATAAAGCAGCGCGTGCAGCACGCTCAGCGCCAGCTGCACCGAGCCTGGCACCGCGGCACCCGAGGCCGCGACGGCGCCTCCGCCGGGCGTCGAGGGTTCGCGGCCAGCCGTGGGGACCGCGGCTGGCGCCGGCCCCGACACTGACACCCTCATGAGGGGACGCGAGCAGCGGCAAGGGAGCGCGGGAAGGAAGCGGCCCAAACTCCCCCGGACCTCCCGCCCGCCCCAGCCTGCGGCCCCCGGGCAGCACCGTGACAAGACTCGCAGCCCCGCGCGGTGGCCGCCGCTGCCCTCGGGTTCGCCTCCCCCTTCCCCCGGGGGGCTCGGCTCCTCCTGCCGCCGCTCGACTCCGCAGCAGCAGAAAACAACTCTCGGCTGGAGACAATCAGCTGAGCGAGCCGAGCATTTGAGGCGCTCGCTCCGCACTGTGGGCTGCAGGCGATTGGCCCGGGTGGACACGCCCTCTGGGTGCCGCGCTCGGAGGACCACGGGCCTCGGAGCCCGTCACTCCAGGATGCCGCCATCTGATTGGGCTTCTGCTGTCCTCCCCCTCTTTTTCCCCGCCCCGCTCCCCAAGCACGCTGCTGATTGGCCCAGCAAATGTAAGACCTGCTCGCGCCCGCGGGAGGATACCAGATTCTGTCACCTAGGCGTGCTCTCGCCCCGCCCCGCCGGCCTTCCATTGGTTGGAGGATATCTTACGTAAGGAGCACGAGGAGAAGGCGGAGCCTCGGGTTCCTTTTTTTTCTTTTCTTTTTCTTTTCTTTTTTTTTTTTTTTTGCCCCTAAAACCGATTTTGCGGAGGCGGCCGTGGGCGGCGAGCTCCCTCAGGTAGGCGTTGTCGTTTGCGGGCTGCTTTGGGAACCAGCCGCTGCCCCGCCTGTGGCTCCGCCTCCTCCCGGGTGGCGGGAAGTGCTGTCCTCCGAGACGGTTCAGCTCTTTGCCGTGAGGTGCTGCGCGCTGGTCTCCGGCAGGTGGGTGGCAGCGGGCCTCGAGAGTCTGCCTGCATGCACGTCCGCAGCAGGCTGCTTGCGGAGCTCCGACTTCCGAGCTAGCACACCTATTTATGGGGCGCCGAAGGATTCTGGTTTTGCTTTATCTATTATCATTATTTTTATTTCCTTTTTCTGCTCGAGTAGGAAGGAACATGAGTCGAGGACATCGAATGAAGTAAAGTGCGAGCCGAAACTGTAAGTATTCTCTTGGGAAAAGATCCTTAAGCACGGGTAGTACTGGGAAGAGGTGAATAATGTTAAGGCCTTTTGCAAGGGAAAGGCGATTCTTTGAAACTTGCAGTTTGGAAAGATGTCCTTGGCATAAAATTTAGGGCGGGAAGGGGGAGAGCAGTAACAGTTTGGTGATTGTCCAGGTGGAATTGTGTGTAGGAGCGCATAGTGCTATCTTCGTTTGAGACTAAGAGGCACAAAAATAAACCTTAAAAAAGTGAGAAACGACTGTATAGTAGGTCACTACATGAAATTTGTTACCTTTTTTGTTGTTACTTGGTAGCAAATCAGTCAGAATGATGCAGTTCTCAGAATGAGTATCTCATCACAGATTGAGTGGAGTGTTCTTGCAGGCAGAATATTTACTGGAGCATCCAAAACCCAGCCTCTCCTAAATAACCCCTTTCCCATGCTCTGCTTAAGAAGAGTGTTGCTTCCCCATCCTCCATGCACCAAGTGCATGTTGCTGGGTGGTTTAAGGTCTGTATTGTCCTCATTCTGGGCCAGTAGTTTACCATGCAGCCGATGGCGTCACCACCCATCTGCATATAACCATGCACATGCATGCACTATAATGATAAAATGAAAAGAAAGCCATAAAAGTCAGAGGGTTTATTCAGTGGCTCATCAGGTAAACTATAACGAGGCAGGGGAATCTGTAGCATTTAGATGCTTTTTTTTTTATCTCATTAGTTTTAGGGTTGGTGGAGGCTGTCTATATTCCAGACCTTAAAGATGTTAAGCCAGACACAAAGGGGGATAGTATGCGGTGATTGCAAGGGGCAAGAGGTAGTGCAAGACGATTTTGGGTCTTGTTTTATGATACTCCGTCTTTCCTGGTGTTCTACGAAAGCATGCCGCAGGGGCTTTACAGAGATGCAGTTTCTTCAGAGAACTTGACCACGCAGCACTTATTCAGTACAGAGCAGCAGCAAACAGTTCTCATTCTGTGTGCCCTAGAGTGCAGTTCTCCACTGCCTCTGGCTTCGTCCTGTGAGACAGATAAAAACTGTGAGAGTCTTATCATTATCTGAGCCACATCTAAACTGGCTTTGGAGCATGTGACTTCTTTTTGAGGCTGAGTGGTTTGATCAGCATGCTTCTTTGAGCACAGAACAACGTGGGTCTAACTTAGGGTTTATGTTTGTAGATTGCCTGCTTTTGTTGGTGCTTGCATACCTTGTCAGATACAACCAAGAACTCCAATTCAGTGTGCATATCCTGTTTTCAAGCCCCTTCTCTCGGTGCTTGAGATAAGCTGATTAGCTGCAAGAATCTTGGTACACACTCATTGTAGATCCATTAGTTACTGTCGTCTCCAGATTACTGTAGCCACAGCTTTATCAGCTTGATGTGGCTCAGTTTTTGATTGGCAGTGTGTGATAAACCTCTTGTGAGGCCCAGACCAGTTTTGAGCTCTGCTTGATCTCCTAGCCAGTGTTTGAGAGTTCATGTTAAGGCAACTGCTAATTTATAGCATGTGTGTCAGTGGACAGAGACTAGTTTACGCTAAACAAGTAGTTCCTTAAATCTTTTTTTTTTTAATATTTATTTATTTATTATGTGTGTATGTCTGCAGGCCAGAAGAGGACACCAGACCTCATTACAGATGGTTGTGAGCCACCATGTGGTTGCTGGGAATTGAACTCAGGACCTTTGGAAGAGCAGGCAGTGCTCTTAACCACTGAGCCATCTCTCCAGCCCAGTTCCTTAAATCTTAATGGCTTAAAATGTCATAGGATTTCTTCCTGAAGCTCACGACACATTAGCTAGGGGTTCTTGGTGTTGTGTTCATGTGGACAAGATAGCTATCATTTTGAGCATTTCTGGTGACTTTTGTCGCCTGATATTCCTCTTTTCCTCCCCTCCCACAGTGAAATCATATGGTGTCATAAACAATCTCAGCAGAGGAGGAATGCGGAAGCTCAGTGAAGCCTTCTTTACCCCAGGAACTCAGGATCCACCACACCGGAGGAGCCAGGTCACATTTCTCCCATGGTTCTCATCAGTTTGTGGAGGTGTGTAGATTTTCTAGTTACTAGGGATGTGTGTGTGAGAGAGAGAGAGACTAAACGTCTTCCCGATCTTTGTTTTTACTCTTTGATTGCTTATAGTCTTTCCCACCCACATTCTCTATCCTTTAGTTTAAAGATCCTTGTGTAAGGAGGGCAAGACTGAACAAATGCTTTTTATTTTCCAAGGATGGGTTTGTCCCTTGTTTTGTAGCTGGGTTTGATAGATTAGATTAATAATAGAAGCTATGGAAGTTTATTTACATGGAAAAAAGAAAGGTGAAAGAGTGTAAGATCTGAAGAAAGAGGAGAATATCAAAATAAAAATGAGGTGATTTTACTTAAGGAAGTGATGCGAGCCAGGTATGATTACATTTCATGCCTATAATCCCAGCACTCTGGAACTCTGGAGCCTGAGGCTAGAGGATCACAATGAAGCCAGGCTAGGCTACATAGTAAGATCATATCTGAAAAAGCTGAGGAAATAAAAAAAAAAAATAGAAATGTTCTGTGAACTTCAAAAGTTGCCTTGATATTTATCTCTGCCTCAGTTTTTTTCTTTAGAGATAATTGCTATCAATCAATAATTATGTGTTTTGACACCGACACCTATTTTCAGCACTGTGGCTTTTGGTGCTGTGAAATATAGTACGTAAGCCTTCTGTCCCTTTCACCCTTTGTACTTCTGTCGTGGCTCCTGACCAGGCACCTAGTGGGCCCCACATACTTTGTGCTTTATGTAATTTTTAAATAGTCAAATATTATTGAAGGCGGAAAGATTGAGAGATGACTGATACGTTCCTGTCTCTAGTCGCTAACGGATCAATTGCACAGCACTGTCACACATGCACTCTCATCTGTCCAGTTAGGTAAAAGGCATCTGAAGTTTGCAAACCTTCGGAGCTGCATACCGTATTGCACAGAGAGAAACAGCGTGCCAACTCGACTGTCCAATTTATGCTAAAGGAATTGAATTGTAGCCTCAAGACAAGGAAATAATTGACGCTTGATCTTTCAGTTGTAATTTAACCTAATACTTTGTGGTTTAATTAGGTTATTGTTATTTCATATAGGAATGAATGCTCTATAGTTATTCCCTTAGCCACAGAAATACATGCAGTTTCCTCCAGAATAAAAAGAAAATAGCGGGTGATCTATTTTTAAAATGTTCCCATTAATATAAAGTAGCCCTGGAATAGGTTGCTTACAGTGGCTAGAATGTATAAGCAATTTTAATGTCAACGATACCTTTTAATTAGGTATCATTAAGGTGACATTTTTATTTATAGCTGTCACTTCTCATTTTGCTTTAAGCTTTTAAACACTTAACTCAGAATTAAAACCTGAAAGGCAAATCTGCACAGTGATAGTAACAGGGTCTAATGAATTTCAGAAATATTAAGTAATTCATGAATCATTAGCTTCATTTTTTTTTAAAGGAACACCTGCTCTCTCGGGGGAGCTGTCTTGTTGATACTCTCGAATGAATGAGCATGTAGCCAGGGCTTTCATGATTTCCTTATAAAGTCATTCTTTGCTGAAAAATTCTGCCCTTACTCTTAGGAGTATATAGAAATAATTTTTGCTGCTTTCATTGCCTATTTTAAAATAATGATCTTGTGTTTGAAATACAGAGGTCCTATTTCAGATTAAAAGATGAAAATTCTCACCTATACCTGTGAGTGTGCTTCTGTTCTTTGTAAATATGTTAGTTTTTAAGATTATTTTAATTTTCCTAGAGGCTGGGAATGTAGCTCTGTAGTAAATTGCTTGACTAAACTATCTTTCAAATTTTGACAGTATAGATCATCAATAGAAAAACTCCCGGAGTTGTTCAAGAAAAAACAAGTAAAACTTCAGAATAGCAGACCAAACTGACAATAGGCCAGAGAGGAAAGTGGTAAGTATACCAAGAAAGGTGACGGGAGGATGGGTAGACCAAATTGGGTTCAAAAGGTAGGGCTGGACTAGTCAGTTGAGAAAGAACTCTGTGTATAAGCAGTGTAAAATAAGTCAAATAGTATGTCTTAAGCATTAAGGTAGGCGTATGTTTAAAAAGAATGTTCCAGCATAATGTGAGTAGATCGCTTGCAGGAGATTTAAAAGGTAGTGAACCCATAACAGAGTTTGAGTGTCTTTTTCCCAGCCAAATGGTGTTTAGCAGTTGCTGGAGTATTTGTTATACATTAGCTATAAATGGGTCAAACAAAATGTTTAATTTTAAAAATGAGTCTAGTCAGGCTTGGTGGTATAGGCCTGTACTCCCAGCTACTTAGGAGGCTGGGGCAGAAAGATTATAAATTCAAGGCCAGCTTGGACAGTAAGTGACACCCTGACTTCAGGCTGGGGCTAAAGATCAGTGGTAGAGTGCTTACCCTAGCTTGTTCAAGGCTTTGAGTTCATTGTCTAACACAGAAAATTAAAAAAAACACAGAACTAGGTAATATTTTTAATTAATTTAAGAATGTTAAAAATTGTCAGCTTAACACTGCAGTAGATACCTGTGCAACTTAAGCATTTTGTAGATATCCTAGATTTCTTTTGCCATTATCAAGAATCAAGCTGAGTATGATATTGAATGACTGTAATCCAAACTCTCGAAAGGCAACAAGGGGTGCTGTGAGTTTGAGGTGAGCCAGGCTACAAACTAGAACCTTGTCTCAGAAAAACCAAACTCAAAAATCAACAACAACAATACACACACACACGCACACACACGCACACACACACACACGCACACACACATGCACACACACACACATGCACACACACACATGCCCACACGCACACACACACGCACACACACACACATGCACACACACACACACACGCACACACACGCACACACCTGCTTCAAAGCTTGGGAATGGAGCTAGATTAGTGGCACAGTACTTCCTTTAACTCTACAATCCCCAGCACTGTGAGAATATAAAATGAAATGGAAGCATTATCACAGTGTCCTCCTCATATATCATTCCCCTTCAGGTTTTTTTTCTTATTAGAAGGAAATAAAGTTCTAGCAACATCAAGTCATGTAGTGATTTAACTCTTCATCTGGTGTCTTTAACTTCATTTAACAAATTCATCTAACAGAACTTTGTGGGTCTCCTCCTCTGTGCCAGGTACGCTTCAGGCAGTAGAGCGGAGCCCTGAAGAAGACAGGCTCGTCTCCTGGCACACATATCCAGCTCCTGCTCATGATGTCGTCTGGGATCGGTGTATTTAGGGCTGGGGTCGCATTGGTTGTGATGTGTGGTTTTTCCACGTCAGCCGAAGATGCCCTCCCAGAACTGAGTCCTGAGCAGTATTTCAGCACACTGCAGCCAGGAAAAGCCTCCTTAGCTTATTTTTGTCAAGTTGGTACGTATCTTTTAAACGTCCTTCAGGGCTCTTGTGATATGCATTTCACTCTCGTCACCGCAGTCAGTGAGGACTTCTGTCAGGTGTAATAGTGTGTGCTGTAAAGCTGTCCTGTCATCTGCCTGCTTGGAAGAACCCAAGCACCCGAGCCGTTTCTTTCCTCACCGGCTACGATGCAGCAGCGATTGCCTTCTAAGTGGAGGATGAGGATGAGGAAGAGATGGCTTACACATGTGCTTACTTCATGGCAAACACAGTCCAGCCGTCTGGATTTCATGCAGTCATTTCTGGAAGAATGCTTTCTTATTCTTTTCTTTACATGTAGCTATTTTTGCAGTTTTATAAAACTTGGATATGTAGTTTTAATAATGCTTTAGCTTAATATTCTATATTTTGCTTTGGCTGTGTCATTAATTATACTGAGTTAATTAGCATGACTATTGTATGTAATTGTGATGGTTTTATTTAGGTCTTTATGCTAATGACAGTACAGCTGTATTGGAATTACCAAAACGAATTCATGTCTCTATGCATTCTTTAATTATAATTGTGATTTGGGATGTTAAAGTCATTTTGGAGATATGTATCTGTATATAAGAACTGTGTATATGGTGTTATTCTTGGAGGAATAATACCACATTAGACTTAAACTTTTTTTTTTTCATGACAAGGTTTCTTTGTGTAGCTCTGGCTGTCCTGGAACTCTCAGAGATCCACCTGCCTCTGCCTCCCAAGTGCTGGGATTAAAGGTGTCACCACCCAGCTTGAATTTATTTTTTATCATATGCTTTAATAAGAAATTTTTAAGGTAATTTACAAAATTTTATTGTGATGAGAAGAATGAAGAAACAGTAGGAAATATGTGACTGGATGTGTTCACTTGTCATTTTGAAGTCTAGTCACATAATATTTTTGTGTGTTCAGATTTTACCTTTAATTTTAACTATTTCTTTTAAAAGAGGAGATTCACAAATATTTATTCAACATTTCTTTTTTAGGTTTGCCAAGTAACTCTGTGTTTCTTGAAGAACTTAAAGAAGCTGTTAGACCTCTCCAGGATCATGGAATTTCTGTCTCAAAGGTAGACAGATATTTATTTATATCAATAGAATATTAGTGACAGACATTTACAGCAGTATGGCCTATAACTGTATATCTAAAAACACATTAGCTTCTTACCTTTTCCCAAACTGAGAGAAAAAAAGTTTGTTTTTTCTTGCTTCTTACCTAAGCACAGTTTCAGATGACTGAGTAATAGTACATGGAGAGAAAAAAAGCTGGCTTAATCCCTAGCTGTGAGAACTTGACTGTGTTTCATAACCTGTTCTGTCTGGGTATTTTCAAGCCCATGGTAAGGTTTTGTAAATTATAACAAGTGAATTTGAAAATATAATTTTTTTTCAAAAAAATTCAAATTTACTATGGAGTTTTATGGACAATTTCCACATGTATTGGATTGGGTAACATCTAGCTTTCATTCATTACCTGAGACTTTACAGAGACGTCTCCCAGTGACTGTCACTCTTTCAGGTTAGTGTCTACTACCTGTTCCTTCTCAGTTCATCTACTGCCTGTCTCCCAGAGGTCACTGTTGTCCCTCTTAGTGTCTACAGTGGACGTCCTACAGGAAGTTAGGTCAGTCTGTGTACCTTAAAAAACCCAGTCACACCACAGACTCCGTCTTTTAGGTGTGTCAGTTCTTTCTGTCAGCTAGCTTCGTTTACTTACTGAGTCTATTCTAGGATGTTACCAACATTGATTTATAATGAACGCTGGGTAAAAATTTAAGCAAAAATTCAGAAGGGGTGGGATAGATATGCTTAGTGGTTAGGAGCACTAGCTGCTCTTGTGTTGGAACCAGTTCAGGTCCTAACACCTTCATGGCATCTCACAACCATCTGTAGCTCCAGTTCCAGGAGATCTGATGCCCTCTTCTGGCTCCGCCAGCACCATTCCCCTCCAGGCACACATGTGGTACACATACATGTATGCAGACACTCATGGACATAAAATAAAAATAAACTTTAGAAATGAAATAGTAATTGCATGATACTCAAAGGCAAGCCTACTAAGTTAGAAATGTAGATTTCAGCTGAAGAGGGACACTATAAAGCAATCCCACACTAGCTCAGACTTGAGTATAATAAAGGGTTATTTATTTAGGGGTAGACTCACAGTCTTCTGCATGAACGGGAAACAGTCAGGAGAGAGCATGCAAGCTTTATAGCTGCATTTATAATATAAGAGACCACACTCAAGTGGGCTGATATCTTAAAGGCTATTGGCTGAAGGAGTTCCCACAGAACCTCCCCTTTTTGTTTAAATAAGAGAATTCTAAGCCTAATCTTTTTCAAGGTATTGTACCTATACAGCTCATTTAACAATGTAACAAAAATTTTTAGTTGTTGGAAATTATTACTACCAACTGTTTAGGATAATAAGGAAATGCAGGTTAGTAATTAGTCACCTATTACAACAGAACTTGTAGTCATATTAGGTATGTTTTCGAGGTCAAACAGATATATTTTAGATGCACAGGTCATCTTCAAATACTTCAGAGATATACCGAGTATGACATTTAAGATGTTTTAATAACATAGGTTCTTCTTTTTATGACATTGAGACTTGTCTGCTTCTGGCAACACCAATCTACTTCAGAAAAGATGATGGGCATCGAAGAAACTCCACATGGAGTTTGCTTTCTTTGTGGCAAAAATAAGCCACTGGGTAAGAAAGTGCTCTTGTCTCAACTGCTGACAGTATGATGTCCTAATTGGACAAGCAGGACACAAAAGAGAGTGACTGCCAAACCTTTGCCCAGATGAGGTGGGTCAACTTCAAAAATTCTGCTTCATAGAAAAGTCTGTCAGAGATTCCAGGCCTGTAGGCTGAAATGGATGCACCAACACTGCAGAGGAACTGCAGCTAGCTGTCTCTGTCTTTTCTCACAATTTTTGTAAGTCACTTGCTCGTACTTCCTGCTTTCTCAGTTAATGTCATTTCCTTCTTGGATCTTAGAGGGAGTTGAAGAGTAGATAGTTTTAGTTTTCCTTGTTTACCAGATACAGAAAGCAAATTATGATAGAAAGTAAATTAGGTATAAAACTTTGGACTCACACAATAGGATGGATGGGGAGTATTTTCTCTGAATTTGTCAAATGCAAATGGACTAGACATTGTTGATGTACTTAGCCTGTATATATTGTATATAGTTATTATACTTATTGTGTATAGTTTTTATATATTAGTTATAGTCTTTTTTATTTTAGATAAAAAAGGGGAAATAGAGGGATTTTATTTATGTTTTAATAAATAAAGCTTGCCTGAAGATCAGAGGGTAAATCTAAGCCACTAGAGGCCAGGTAGAGGTGTCATAACTTTTAATCCTGGGATTTGGGAGACAGAGGCAGAAGGATCTTCGTGAGTTCAAAGCCACCCTGGGCTACACAAGATCAATGCAAAAAGAGATCCAGGTAGTGGTAGCTCATCCCTGTAATCCCAGTACTAGGGAGTCACATGCCTTTAATAGATGGGAGGAGACAGAGGTTCAGAGCTCAGTCTGCAGTCACCCAGCCTTGGTAGAAGTAAGTCTTTTCTACTGACTTGGCTGTTTTGCTTTTCTGATCTTTGACTTGAACCCCAGTATCTGTCTCTGGGTTTTATTATTTATATTACAGGGAAGCTTTCCCTGATTATCTCAAATGGTCTGGTATATTCTGTCCCTTTACTGTTTTTGTGTATGGTACTTAACTTTATACATTGATTATTTAGTGTTTATTACTTTAAAATGTAAGTTCAAAACAAAGTTTTTTATTTGGGACTTTGCTGTATCCCCAGTGGCTAACATAATGGTAGACCCTCACACACTAGTGAGTGAGTACATGACCTCTTGTCATAACATCAGGCATTCCTATTCTTTGGACTTCAAAGTTAAGGAGACGTCCACCAAAGTTCTTTTGGTTATAGCTGACTTAATTCTCATTTTCTGTTTCTTATGTCTTTCCTGTCAGTTCCCCTTTTATAATTTTTTTTGAGAAACATTTCTTTTGGTTTCCTTATATTCTGCATAAATAAATTAAACTAGCAAGAACAAAAACCCCATTCCATCAAATCAAACAAAATCCTTAACCAAATTCAAATAAAATAACTGCCTCTCCAGCCTTTGTTTAAGTTAGTTACATCAGTGGCCGTTTATCTCTCTAGCTGGAAATGTGTGCGCTCTCCTCATGGCTTGCTTCTGTGTGGTGATGCGTGCACACAGTCACTGTTCCTAGTTTTCCTTTCTCTTAGGTCTTCATGACTTTCCTCCCTGTCCTAGTCCTTGGCTTGTACCTAAGTTCCTGCCTCCTTATTTTGTGCCCTCTCACCTTCCATCTTACGTTCATGACTGGTCTGACATTTCCTCACATAAATCTGGGTTTTGTGCTGTCTGCCTTGGTGTGGCTCCTTTAACACTGGACACTTGGTTTATCTTTCTGTTGCACAATTTTAGTGGATGGTGTAAAGGTACCCGTGCTTGCAATTGCCACTGGTATGCTAGACTTCTTATTGAGAGAGAAGCTTGCAGTCTCCTTTTGAGGACTGTCAATGAATTCTCACACAGTGACATCTCCTAATGCCATGTTTACCCTGTGACCATCCTGACCCGCTGTGGAGACTAAAGAAAATTCTAATACGAGACTTTATTTTTTTCTTAAGAGTGTGGTTCTATTAATAAAAGTAAAGGGGTTGATGGACTTGGATGAGAAAACCATCAGAACTTATTGGACACTCCTGTGCACAGGTGCAGAGTTGCTGTCATAGACCCAGCTTAAGTTCTCTTGCTAAGTACTCACTCTGCCTCCGAACTCTACCCTCAGCCTCTGCTTTTTGGTTTTCTTGTGTGGTTGTTTATCTTATTGTAAGCATTTTTTCCTGTTTTACCTCCTTACCTCTTGATTGCTTTGCAAAATTGAGTTAAATGTAAACTTGTGGAAAATTAAATATCACTTTGAGTTCCTTTCTGTGGTTTCCTCGAGCGCTTGAGTGAGCAGTGAAAGCATTGAGTCAGGAAAAGTGAGGGGCAGACGTTAGCTGGAGACAGGTGGTAATGTTTCATTTTCCTTGTTTTCTTTACCATGAACCCTGACCCTGTGATGCATACCTTAAACCTTGAATATAATCTCTTACAGGTTAACTGTGTCGAAGAAGAAGCATCAAGGTATTGTGGGAAAGAAGAGGGATTGATGAAAGCGTATTTATTCAGGTAAATTCTCTTTGAGTGTGGCCTACTCATGCAAAGCAGTAGTTTTAGACTACTTAAGAGCACATAGCACATCGCTAGGCTAGAATAACGTGGTCTTCAGAGACGGCTTAGGAAGTTCGGTAGAAAGTCCAAGGAGTAGAGTTACCGCTAGCCTTTCCAAGCTTTAATTTCTTTCTCTACAAAAGCTGCAGAACCTTATGTGAATTTTTACTCAGAATATCGGGCAAGAAGCACAGAGCAGGCTGAGTGTTCTGTGTGGCTCTGCCAGCTCCATATAGGGAACCCTTTCCTCCTGAGGGATCCGTCTACAATTGTCTAGGTATCGGTTCTTCTACTGTTGACTCTGTCGTCTTCTCCTAGAGATGTGAGACAAACTTTTCTCTCTCTCACTGCTTGCTTCCTTCCCAAGCCAATCTGGAAACCTGCATGTGATGGAGATGTTAATAGAAGTCGCTTTTGGATTTGGATTGGTTCCTTTACCAGTTTTTTTCCAAGTGTAGGTCCTAAACTTTGCAAGATGAACATGCTTATTTGAGTGTATCCTCAGTAGATATTTGAGAATATTGTGTACCAGCAGTCTGATAGGTGTTTGGGCTACACAGACAAGACACAGGCTCTGATATCAAAGAACTTAATGTTAGCTAGTTAAGCAAATTGGAGTGTAAGGAGGTGCTTCAGTAACATGTTCTTCAAACTTTCCCTAGGGGCAGCATACTGCTCAGAGAATTCCCCACTGACACCTTATTTGACGTGGACGCCATTGTTGCACACGTTCTCTTGTAAGTACTGGGGGGGGGGGGATACTCCTCTGCTTCCTTATTGGTCATTTCACTTTCAAGAATCACAGTTCTGGGAGCTAGTTTAGAGTTTAACATCTTTATAGGCATAACAGATCGCTGGTTTATTATCTCAAGGATCTAAAGTTTCTTCAGTGACAGAAAACAGGATTTTTTTGAAAGGTTTTCTTAACTGGACCTGATGGTCATACAGTTGCTTTTGGTTTGCTAGTACAGTGAGTATTTACTAGATGCCTTAGTCTGTCTGGGCTGCTGTAACAAAATGCGTGGACCAAGTGGCATAGAAAACAGAATTTTATTTTTCACAGTTTTGGAGGCTGCAAGTCCAGTGTCAGATTACTGGCTGATTTGGTGTCAGATGAGGGTCTGTGTTCTCCCTTTGTCCTCTCAGAGCAGAGGAACCTGGATATCTCAAGTTTCTTTTACGAGGCTACTAATATCATCCATAATGGATCTGCTTTCATGATCTAATTTTTCCTCAGAGTTCCGCCTCTGAATCCCCACATATTGGGGGTAGGTGTCAGTGTATGCATCTCAGGACACACACACACACACACACACACACACACCTAAACCTGGACACCCGGGTGTTAGTGTATGCATCTCAGGACACACACACACATACACACACACCTGGGTGTCAGTGTATGCATCTCAGGACACACACACACACACACACACACACAAACCTGGGTGTCAGTGTATGCATCTCAGGACACACACACACACACATACCTACACACATACCTGGGTGTCAGTGTATGCATCTCAGGACACACACATGCATACACACACAACCACACATACACCTGGGTGTCAGTGTATGCATCTCAGGGGACACAAACACACGGGAGTCAGTGTATGCACCTCAGGACACACACACACAGGTGTCAGTGTATGCATCTCAGGACACACACACAGGTGTCAGTGTTTGAATCTCAGGGGACACACAAACACAAAGCCACAGCTTTAGTCCTACTGAGATTGCTTGGTAAATTAAAGACTCATGTGGTCAGAAAAACAGAGAGAGATACAGTAAAGAGAGCGTCAAAGACAAAGAAAATTTTTAAATGATTTACAGTGTGTTAAAAATATATGCAGGCTAAAAGTTGAAGTTCTTAAAGTTAAAAAAAAAAGGAAGAGAGTTGTTGGGTGTGGTAGTACACACCTTTAATCAGGTGTTAGTGTATGCACCTCAGGACACACACAGGTGTCAGTGTATGCATCTCAAGGGACACACACACAGGTGGTTGGTAGCTGCAGATAGATGCTCAGCTTTGCTGCTTCCCTTAGGGTTTCTTTTTTTTTTTTTTTTTTTTTTTTTTGGTTTTTTGAGACAGGGTTTCTCTGTAGCTTTGGTGCCTGTCCTGGAACTAGCTCTTGTAGACCAGGCTGGCCTCGAACTCCCTGAGATCTGCCTGCCTCTACCTCCCGAGTGCTGGGATTAAAGGCATGCGCCACTACCGCCCGGCCCCTTAGGGTTTTAAAAGTACCTTGTTTCTGTGATCCACGCCCAATAACTATCTGATAACAAACTTTAAATTTTTTTTAAAACGAAAACAAACTATCTTTTTTCATTATATATACCAATCCAAGTTCCCACTTCCTCCTCTTCTTCCATTGTTTCCACTTACCCTCTCCCATCCCAACCCCATCCGCTCCTCAGAGAGGGTAAGTAAGGCACATTGCTTTGGGGAAGACCCAAGGCCTTCCCTATTATGTCTAGGATGAGCAAGGTATCCATCCAAAGAAAATAGTTTCTCAAAAAGCCAGTACAAGCAGTAGGGATAGATCCTGGTGCCACTGCCAGTGGCCCTTCAGTCTGCCCCAGCCATGCAACTGTCAACCACATTGAGAGGAACTAGTTTGAGCCTATGCTTGTTCCTTCCCAGTCCGGTTGGTGTTGGTGAGTTCCCATTAGCTAAGGTAGACTGTTTCCATGGATATACCCATCATGGTCTTGACCTCTTTGCTCACATTCTCACTCCTCCCACTCTTTAGCTGGACATTGGGAGCTCAGTCCAGTGCTCCAATGTGAGTCTCTGCCTCTCTTTACATCAATTGCTGGATGAAGGTTCTATGGTGATATTTAAGATATTCATCAGTCTGGCTATAAGGCAAGGCAAAGTTCAGGCCCCCTCTCCTCTGTTGCTTAGGGTCTTAGCTGGGGTCATCCTTGTGGATTCCTGGGATTACTCTAGAATCAGGTTTCTTGCTAACTTCATAATGGCTCCCCAATCAAGATATCTCTTTCTCAGAGTTGTTTTGATTTGCATTTCCCTGATGGCTAAGGATGTTGAACATTTCCTTACGTGTCTTTCGGCCATTTGAGATTCTTCTGTTGAGAATTCTCTGTTTAGTTCTGTACCCCATTTTTAATTGGGTTATTTAGAATTTTGATGTTTAATTTCTTGAGTTCTTTATATATTTTGAGATCAGTCTTTTTTCTGATGTGGGGTTGGTGAAGATCTTTTCCCATTCAGTAGGCTGCCTTTTTGTCTTATTGACTGTGTTCTTTGCTTTATAGAAGCTTCTCAATTTCAGGAGGTCCCATTTATTTATTGTTGCTCTCAGGGTCTGTGCTACTGGAGTTATATTTAGGAAGCAGTCTCCTTTACCCATTCATTGAAGACTACTTCCCACTTTCTCTTCTATCAGGTTCAGTGTGATCGGATTTATACAAAGGTATTTAATCCACTTGGACTTGAGTTTTGTGCATGGCAATAGATACGGATCTATTTTCATTCTTCTACATGTTGACATCCAGTTAAGCCAGCAACATTTGTTAAAGATACTTTCCTTTTTCCATTGTATAAATTTAGCTTCTTTGTCAAAAATCAGATGTTCATAGGTTTGTGGATTAGTATCTGGGTCTTTGATTTGATTCTATTGGTCAATCTCTCTGTTTTTTTTGCCAGTACGAAGCTGTTTTCATTACTGTAGCTCTGTAATAGAGTTTGATTTCAGAGATGGTGATACCTTCATAAGTTCCTTTATTGTTCAGTATTATTTTGGCTATCCTGGGTTTTTTGTTTTTCCATATGAAGTTGATTATTGTTCTTTCAAGGTCTGTTGACAGAGGTTTTTATTCTGCCCAGTCCTGCAGCCGTTCAGTCCCAAAGAAACTCAAAGAGGTCTACATTAATTATAAACTGGTTGGCCTATTGGCTCAGGCTTTTTATTAACTCTTATAACTTACATTAGCCCATAATTTTTGTCTGTGTTAGTCACATGGCTTGGTCCCTTTTATCAATGAGGCTTTCTCATTTTGCTTCCTCTGAGTCTGGGTAGCGGCTGCAAACTTAGCCTTTCCTCTTCCTAGAATTCTCCTGTTCTTGTTGTCTCACCTCTACTTTCTGCCTGGTTACCCCACCTATACTTACAAGTAACAGGATAAAGACCATTGTCCCATAGCACAAGGTCTGTGAAGAATTGTGTTGGAATTTTGGTGGGGATTTCATTGAATCTATAGCTTGCTTTTGGTAGAATTGCCATTTTTTTTTTTTTTACTATGTTGGTTCTACCTATGCAAGAGCATGGGAGATCTTTCTATTTTCTGGTATCTTCTTCAGTTTCTTTCTTCAAAGACTTAAAGTTCTTGTCGAATAGGTCTTTCACTTCTTTGGTTAGTGTTACCCCAAGATATTTTATGTATTTGTGGCTATTGTGAAAGGTGATGTTTCTCTGATTTTTTTCTCAGCTTCTTTATTATTTGTATATAGGAAGGCTACTGATTTTTTTTGAGTTTATTTTGTATCCTGCCACATTTCTGAAGGTATTTATCAGCTGTAGGAGTTCCCTGGTAGAGTTTTTGGGGTCACTTTTATATACTATTATATCATCTGCAAATAACAAAAGTTTGACTTCTTCCTTTTCAATTTGAATCCCCTTGATTTCCTTTGTTGTCTTATTACTATAGCCAGAACTTCAAGAAGTATGTTGAAGATATGGAGAGAGTGGACAGCCTTGTATTGTTCCTGATTTTAGTGGAATCACTTTGAGTTTCTCTCCATTTAATTTGATGTTGGCTGTTGGCTTGCTGTTTATTTCTTTCTTATATTTAGATATGTTCCTTGTATCCCTGATCTATCCAAGACCTTTTTCATAGGGGGGTGCTGGATTTTGTCAAATGCTCTTTTAGCATCTAATGAGATGAACATATGTTTTTTTCTTTCAGTTTATTTATATGATGAATTACATTGGTAGATTTTCATATGTTGAACTAACACTGAATCTCTAGGATGAAGCTGGCTTCATCATGGTGGATGATTTTTTTGATGTGTTCTTGGATTCGGTTTGCCAGCATGTTGTTGAGTATTTTTGTATCCATGTTCATGAGTGAGATTGGTCTGTAATTCTCTTTCTTGGTTAAGTTTTTGTGTGGTTTTGGTATCAGGGTAACTGCAACCTCATAAAAAGTGTTTAGCAATGTTCCTTCTGTTTCTCTTATGTGGAACACTTTGAGGAGTATAGGTATTAGCTCTTCTTGGACTTTCTGGTATGTAGTGAGATGAGGTGAGCAGGCCTGCTTTTCATCCCACCTGGCTCCCACACGGCTAGCTTTACACCCGAAATAACAACACACAAATAGTATTCTTTTAAACACTGCCTGGCCCGTTAGTTCTAGCCTCTTATCCGCTAATTCTCACATCTTGATTAACCCATTTCCAATAATCTGTATAGCACCACTAGATGGTGGCTTACCAGGAAAGATTCTAGCCTACGTCCATCTTAGGCTGGAGCTTCATCACATCTGTCCTGGAGAGGAGAGCTATGGCTTCTGCCTCACTGGTAGAATCTGAGATTTTTTTGGTTGGGAGGTTTTTGATGACAGCTTCTATATTCTTGCAGTTTATAGGTTTATTTAAATTGTTCACCTGGTCTTGATTTAATTTTGGTATATGGTATGTGTATAGAAAATTGTCCATTTCTTTTATGTTTTCCAATTTTGTGGAGTACAGGTTTTTGTAGTATGACCTAAT